AACCACTTTTGAGTATTCTTTTCTAGGAAAATCCTGAAAAGGGTTGCCATAAGTCAGAATTGACCTGAAGGCACATAATTATTATTATTTTAGAAACAAACTATGCAATTTTGCTATTGTCTGTGCATTTTTGATACTGTCTGTGCTATTTTGATATTGCAATGTCCAATATGGTGTCCTCCTCTCATGCAGTGTGACCCCTTTGTTGTTGTTTAGTCGTTAAGTCGTGTCCGACTCTTTGTGACCCCATGGACCAGAGCACGCCAGGCCCTCCTGTCTTCCACTGCCTCCCGGAGTTGGGTCAAATTCATGTTGGTTGCTTCGGTGACACTATCCATCCATCTTGTCCTCTGTCGTCCCCTTCTCCTCTTGCCTTCACACTTTCCCAACATCAGGGTCTTTTCCAAGGAGTCTTCTCTTCTCATGAGATGGCCAAAATATTGTCTGTGCATTTTTTATATTGTCTATGCAATTTTGATATTGCAGTGTCTAATATGGCATCCTCCTCTCATGCAGTGTGACCCCTTTGTTGTTGTTTAGTCGTTAAGTCATGTCTGACTCTTTGTGACCCCATGGACCAGAGCACGCCAGGCCCTCCTGTCTTCCACTGCCTCCTGGAGTTGGGTCAAATTCATGTTGGTCGCTTCGATGACATGGTCCAACCATCTCATCCTCTGTTGTCCCCTTCTCCTCTTGCCTTCACACTTTCCCAACATCAGGGTCTTTTCCAAGGAGTCTTCTCTTCTCATGAGATGGCCAAAATATTGCAGCCTCAGCTTCAGGATCGAGTGTGACCCCTTACTTAGAAGCAAATACCACTTGTGTATGGCTAGACATGACAACAGCTTCAGAATGCAATCCTATGCATTTTTAATTAGTAAAGCTCTCTGGTCAGAATCCTGTTGGGTATTTACACTAGTATAAATGTAATAACATAAATCATGGCAACTGATTGCCATAAATTAATAAATTGGCACTTGTCACCTGCCAAGTTTTGCCTATGGCATGCAAAAAGGAATTAAACCAGTAACTTTTTGATTACATGCAATTCTCCACTGCAATTTATGCAGTTTCATTTAATGCCAGCATAAATAACCAACAGTATTCTGGCAAATTAGACGTGCTTGGGACTGCATCAGTTACAGTGGTGCCCCGCATAGCGAGGTTAATCCATTCCGGATTAACAATCGCTATTTGGAAACATTGCTAAACGGAATAGAAAAACCCAAGTTTAATGCTTTCCAATGGACCCCAAACTCACCGTTCAGCAATGTTCCTCCATAGCGCAGGCATTTTTGTGCCTCGGTAAGCGAGGGCAGGGCACAAAAACGCTGCGCGCGGCCATTTTGGAACCGCCGAACAGCTGTTCCCCCCGACATCGCAATGCGAAGATCGGTAAACGAAACGCTTACTGATCGTTGCAAAGCGATTTTTGCCCATTGGAACCATCGGTATGCGATCGCATTAGCGATCCCAAAAAACGGATCACTATGCAAATTCGTCGTTAAACGGTGCGCTCGTTATGCGAGGCACCACTGTACTTCTGAGGGTAAAGTTTAACAATTTGTACATTTGTCCCTCACCACCACCACCCAGTTTTAACACTGCCCTCCCACATGCAGCCATCTGCGGATATTAAACACACTCTTTTCATTCCTATTACCTTAGATTTTTTTTCTTTTACCTCCAAGCATTTGTATGTGTGTGTTTTAGGTTCTCTCAACCCTACTGACTCAGCTGAAAAGACAGTAATGCTAGGAAGAGTTGAAAGCAAAAGGTAAAGAGGAAGACGAATTTTGAGATGGACTGTCTGCCTACAGCCTTGATTTTACAAGAGCTGTGCAGGTCTGTTGAGTATAAGATATTTTGAAGATCTCCATAAGTCAGAGGTCACGACGGTATATACAGTGGCGCGTTGTGCGCTCAGTGCTCCGTTTAGCGATGAAATCGCTTTGCGATGAACTTTTTGCGATCGCTTTTGTGATTGCTTTACGATGTTCCCTATGGGGTATTTTCGCTTTGCGATGACCAATCATTGCAAAGCGACCATTTTCGCACAGCTGATCAGCGGTTTCAAAATGGCCGCTGGGAAAAAAACATGGCCCGCTGTTTTCTGGAACGGATTCCTCGCTTAACAGGCAGTGAAAATGGCCGCACTATGGAGGATCTTCGCTGAATGGTGAGTTTGAAGCCCCTAGGAATGCATTAATCGTGTTTTAATGCGTTCCTATGGGCTTTTTTATTTCGCATTGCAATGTTTTCATTCAACAGCGATTTCGCTGGAATGAATTAACGACGCAATGCAAGGCACCACTGTAATGAGAAAAACCTTATTGATGGCTCCCTCGTATGCATGGATGATATTTAAAAGGTTAATTTTCCCCTGGCCAATGCTCATCCCTGTTTGTAAGTCAAAGAGTCGACATTTGTCCATAGACACTTTCCATGGTCACGTGGCTGGCATGACTAGATATGGAATGCTGTTACCTTTCTACCAAGGTGGTAGCTATTCATCTGCATGTATTTGCATGCTTTCGAACTGCTAGGTTGGCAGGAGCTGGGATGGGAGCTCACCTTCAACAGCGATTTCGCTGGAATGAATTAACTTCGCAATGTGAGGCACCACTGTAATGAGAAAAACCTTATTGATGGCTCCCTCGTATGCATGGATGATATTTAAAAGGTTAATTTCCCCCTGGACAACTAAGTCAAGTTGTGTCCAACTCTAGAGGCCAATGCTCATCCCTGTTTGTAAGTCAAAGAGTCGGCATTTGTCCGTAGACACTTTCCATGGTCACGTGGCTGGCATGACTAGACATGGAACACCGTTACCTTTCTACCAAGGTGGTAGCTATTTATCTACATGTATTTGCATGCTTTTGAACTGCTAGGTTGGCAGGAGCTGGGATGGGAGCTCACCTCGTTGCATGCATTCAAACTGCCAGCCTGTTTGATTCAAACAGCCCAGTGGCTCAGGAAGTTATGAGTATCTACATCTTTATTTATTTTTAATGCACCTATATCAGCAGATGTTGGGGAAAACACAATAAAAGTCAACTCTACATCTTTATTTATTTTTAATGCACCTATATCAGCAGATGTTGGGGAAAACACAATAAAAGTCATCATGAAATTTAAAGCCTCCAGCCTGAACCAACAATAATTAATTCCGTAAGTCGAGGGTCCACTGTAATCTAAACAAATTTAAAGCCTCCAGCCTGAATCCACAATAGTCATAACAAAAGTATACTCATTGAATTAGTGGGATTTGCATAAGCGTTGACACAGTTATCATCATTTGATTCAAGTGATTTCTTCTAGTTGTGAGTAGCAATCAAATTTAGGCATTTTTTAATATTTTATTTTCTTTACATACATCCTGCAACGCAGCTCAAAGAAAAATTAAAACAGGTGGTGATAAAGATAGATAAAATAGATACAAACAGCAACAAGTAAAAACAAACTGAAATTTATAATGCTAATGAGAAACAATGACAGAATTAAAATATTCTGCAATTGTGCCATTTGAAAAAGGCTTTCAAAACTCATCAGGAACAAAAAAATGTAGCAGATCATATTAAAACCTAAGAAACCTGTTAAAATTCGAGGCATTTTCTCAGAAGCCAATGAGTTGCCACAAGCAGCCTTGAATAATAATAATATATACCAGCTTTGGGAAATCCAGAGGATTTGACACCAGTCTTCCTTCGCCTTGGATTCTATAACCTGAGAAGGTTTTCTCTTTAAAACCCACAAACTGATTTCACAGGGAGGAGACAGATGACATATCTAGATAACACATCATTTGAAACTGAAATCACATTTGTGTCCCAGAGACATAATTTTGGCACATTTCTGTGTCTGGGGCGGGTCAGCCTTGAAATAGCCTTTATTTCCAACCTAAAGGCCTGTCACAAAACAAAGCAGTCGGATTTGCAAACTACAGAAGATGTGTCAAGCTGTAATGCTTTCAGCACTGAAAGAATTCTCAGTGTTAAGAGACTGCTCTCTCTATAGCGAGACCCAAGTCGCAAATCCTCCGTTGAACAGCATCTGGTGCTTATGCAACAACAAAGACTGAACATCATCAACAGAGTAAAATTTAATTTAAGAATATGAAAATTAGACCCATTGTTTTGTTTTTTACAAAGCACTGGGTTATGAAAGGGATATATGCTTCGATAAAAATGTGTCAGATAATAGGAATCTTGCATGCACTAACATTGGGTATCAATGGAGGGGCTTTCTCCATTGAGAAAAGGTAAGAATATGAAAATTAGACCCATTGTTTTTTTTTTCAAAGCACTGGGGGGTGAAAGGGATATATGCTTTGGTAAAAATGTGTCGGATAATAGGAATCTTGCATGCACTAACATCGGGTATCAATGGGAGGGGCTTTCTCCATTGAGAAAAGTGAGACACATAAGATGCTCAAGAAGTATGTGGCCATAGTAAGCAACAAGTTTGAAAGGAAGCCTGAGGCACTTCAGAGAGACAATGGTGATGAGCACCTTTTGCACCGCACACAAGCCTTTCTGGAGGAACAAGGCATTTGTCACAGGAAGAGTGTTAGACACGCTCCTCAGGGGAATGGAACAGCTGAAAGGAAGCTGGAATCTCTTTTGGGGATGAAAAGATGCATGCTTGCCGATCCAATGCTGCTCAGCAAATTTTGGCAGTCACGTAATCATGACTGCAACCTATCTCCAGAACAGACTACCAGCCAAAGGCACCACAAAAAACTCCATTTGAATTCTGGCATGGCACAGTGACAAGTGTCACAGTGACATTCGAGTCCTGACTTATGACTACATACCAAAACAGAAAAGGCACACAACTGACTCTAGAATAGAGCAGACTCTTTTGTGTACTTGGCTATTCCCCTAGCAGCAAATGCTATAAAGTAATGGACTTTAAAACAGATGAAGTCAGCACAAGACATATGGTTCATTTTGACAAACGAAAGAGAGCTGACAAAAGAGAGAGAGAGAGTTAGATACCTTTGAAGTGCATTGCTGCAGCAGAAGAGAACTTCTATGGCTAGAGAGGCTGCTAAGAGACTTTGGAATAGATGAAGAGACGCCATTCCATATGATGATGGAAGACAACCAGAGATGCATCAGATTGTCATGGTGTGAGAGGATGAATGCTTGCACCAAACACATGCTTGCACCAAACACATTTATGTGAGGTACCATCTGGTATGTGTGACCTAACCAAGAAAGAGACTATTCAGATGATCTGCTGTTCCACTGCAGGGAGGACAGCAGACGAAGCTTCTACCAAAAGATCAGCTGAGAACTTGCAAAGAAGATAAGATTTGAGGGTTCTTTCATGCAAGCTTGAGGAGGGGTGTTGGGATAATAGCAATCTTGCATGCACTAACACTGGTTATAAGTGGGAGGGAGCTTTACAGTCTCATGTGATTGTCCTTTGTCATTAACTTAATTGGTATCTTTCTCCACTTCTGACATTTGTTGATATCTTTTTTATTTTTCTCTCTGACCAAGCAACAAGCATGGAGACCCTCCCCATGTGGTAGAGACTCAATTCCTCCCCACTCCCCCCCAACTATTACTACAAATGGTAACTGTATGTAAAGACAATTTCTTCTGTTTGAAATGCATCTAGAGTGGTTTCATTATGTAAAATGTCAGTTTGTGTGCAAAAGAAACCAAGGAAGTGTGACAAGATTAGGTCGATCTCTCCATGTTGTCTCTGTGTTGTTCTTGTTTTTTCTGCCTCATATTCTGCTGACGAAAAATAATAGCCGACATTTCCCAATATTATGATCACTTTGGTATACATTTTAAAAATGTAGTCAGGATGCAGTGCGTTTTTTTTTTAAGTTTTGGAAATATTATATTATGTATCTTATCATTTTAGGAACTGACTGCAAACTTGGCTGTCATCCTGTAAATGGATTTTGTAAGATCCCAAATGAATGCAGGTAAATTAACAGAGAGCGCTCTCTCTCTTTTTTTGCCAGAAAAATAGAGAGATATTGCTGGAGTTAAAGCATGCTTTGCATTCCCATTTTTAATTTAGTTTTTGGCAAACGGGAGCAGGAGGGTGATTTGTCTGCGAAATGTGCTTCGGTGATAAATGCCTTAATTGGAGCAACTGTGTAACAAAATTGCCCTCTCTTGATTTATTAGAATTTTAATCATGGACATTAAAAAAAATTAAAAAGAACAGTTGAAAACAGAGGATCAGTAAAAAATTAGAGGTGGGAGGTTTTGCAACACTGTGAAACAAAGAATTGTATCCAACTGTGTTTGTCCAGCTACAGGACAGCCCCCCTACCATGCCTACAACCCTTCAGATTTCCCCAAAATTTGTTCTCAAGGTTTAGGAGGCCTTTAGGGCGGAGGTGTAAGTGCTCCGCTGAAAGTCCAGTTGTAGAACAGCACATGCGGTTTAATAACATTCACAGATGTTTTTATCATTGAAGATACATGATGGCCATGCCATCTAAACATGACGATTCTGAAATTTGATGAAGCATGCCCAATGGAACTTTTTTTTTCCCTTAAAGGAAATGTGGTTGGCGATTTGTCTGTTTACCAAGGTCTGCGCCCCATGGGGCTAGCACATGGAATCCCATTCATACAAGAGGATGTGGATTTCATCCAGGCTCTCCAGCCACCTTCCTAAACAGATAAATGGGCACTCCCGTTGGTTATCATACCTGGACTCCAGTTGGCAGCTAGATCATTAGATGAACATAGGCGTGTGTGGCTTTTGATTCACAAAGGGCATGGATTTGCCTGATTTGAAAAAGGCTTGTGCATGTGATAGGTTTAGTAGATGATAGATCAGGTCACCTGCTAGGTATGGCCAGAGGGGTGGAGAGAGAGATAGCATCCAGCCCCAGGATTCAGTCTTTAAAAAGAGTGCATCTCAACAGATATGACCACTGAAAATAAAACTCCTGAGTAACCCAAGGTTAAGAACCAGTGTAGTAAATGATAGATCAGGTCACCTGCTAGGTATGGCCGAAGGGGTGGAGAGAGAGAGAGATGGCATCCAGCCCCAGGATCCAGTCTTTTAAAAGATTGCATCTCAACAGATATGATCACTGAAAATGAATATGGTTGCCCACACCTGAGCTTTGAATATCTGCTTATAGAAACAGACATCCATCCATCTATGTCCTTCAGGTGGTACCAAGAGTTTTGAAGCAGATATACATCCCAATCTGGTAATATTTTCCATGCATGGGACTGTGAATGTGTCTGCAATGCTTTGGTTTTTCTTTGCCTTCAGAGAAGCAGAGAAGCTGTAGACATGTACAGTGGACCCTCGACTTACGGAATTAGTCCATATTGGAACGGTGGCTGCAGGTCGAAAAGTCTGTAGGTTGAGGCTCCATTGACCTACAATGCATTGAAAACTGATTAATCCATAACCGCCCAATTTTGTTCCATTTTGTTTTTTTCGCCCAGTCTGTAGGTCGAGTCTCCGGCTGCAAGTCGAACCTAAATTTTGCAGCCAGAGAAGTCTGTAACTCGAAAAGTCTGTAAGTGGAGCCGTCTGTAAGTCGAGGGTCCACTGTAATGATATACGGCAGGTATTCCCTTTCACTGATGTGAGCAGGAAAAGTCATGGGCCCATGATTTACGCTTGCACTATAGAGAAAAGGCAATTGTTGCACTGTGACTTTTTAGACAAAGGCCACCTGTGTTAAATGTCCAAAGAATCTAAAGCAATGTGAAGTATTTCTGGAATTTCTTTATACAAAGTGGGATAGCTAACTCGTATTCATTTTTTTCTGCCTCTACCAAAATTTAATCATGGAAATGGTATATTTTCAAAAAAAAAATTGGTCCATCTTTTAGACTTCCATTGTTTCATTTGGTAAAATCAATTAGTTTTACTGCTGAGAGCTCATCCATTATGGTTTCCAAATTCTTAACTGCATCTGCAGTTGAACTCTTAGCTTGTCTTGTGATCTTGTCTTGTTTCTTGTCTCTGTTTCAAGATGCCGGCCTGGTTGGCAAGGCCCTCTCTGTGACCAGTGTATCCCGTTTCCTGGCTGTCTCCACGGGACCTGTGCCAAACCATGGCAATGCATGTGTGAAGAAGGGTGGATCGGCAGCCGTTGTGATACAGGTTTGCAAATACATTTCCGTCCAGGAATGAGATGTATCAAGCCAGGCAGCTATAGCTCCATCTGGTGTCAAAAACATGCAATTATTTTGTTAGAATTTCTTCTTTCTTCTTTTCTGGTGAAAAGGGCTTTTTGTTTGGTAGTCAAATTTGCATCAACAGCAAAAATTGAGCATCAAAGCTAAAACCAGATGAAAAATAGCTTGACTTTTTGAAGGACGACATACTCAAGAAAGATAGTTGCTTTTGAAACAGAAAAAAAAATTCACAGACAAGTCCATTTCCTCTAGGACAGCTCCTGTGCACCTAAAAGAAAATGAGTTAAAAATGTAAAAACATGAGCAACACAGAAATCTGAATGAGTGTTTCTGCTCATATTTTCTCAGGCAATGTGATGAACTAAATATATTGCTCAATATCCTGTTGCATAGCGCTGCCTACAGGATGGGAGTGATGTCACTGGCTGTGGCAAATTCTACTAATTAAAGAATTTAAAAAATATTTTGGAGTGTATGTAACTTTATATCATTGGACATGAACTTCATGCACCCCAAATCAGAATTATTTAATTAGCAGCAATCTGTCATGGGTGGTGTCATCACTCTTACTTCACAGGTACAGGTACGCAGTAGGATGAACAAGCTCACATTAAAATATAGCAGTTAGTTTTCAAGGTGTCACAATGTCTTCTTCTTCTTCTTCTTCTTCTTCTTCTTCTTCTTCTTCTTCTTTCCTTTCAGGATAAAATGCCTTTAAATCTGCTCAGATGATTAATAGCACCATGTTATATTGCAGGCAAATTCCCTTCAGTTTCTTCCAGTAATTTTATGGAAGGACACTGAGAAATGTCCATATATTCTATGATTCCCCTTTTACCAAGCCAATGTTTTCTTCTTCTTCTTCTTCTTCTTCTTCTTCTTCTTCTTCTTCTTCTTCTTCTTCTTCTTCTTCTTCTTCTTCTTCTTCTTCTTCTTCTTCTTCTTTTTCTTCTTCTTCTGCTCCTGCTCCTGCTCCTGCTGCTATTGCTGCTGCTGCTGGAGAAACTTTTATTACACATTCATTAATTTGTCCCCTCCTGTCTAGTTAGGAATTTATCGTAACAAAAGACTTTGAAACAACATTGAACTGTTTATTAAGCCCTGAAGCAACCATCGTCTTATTTTAGGGGACATGGCTTCTGAAAAAGATACTGGTTATTGTATTAAAGGTGGGGAAACCCTGTCATATAACCATAAGGTTTCTTTTCAAAATTTGTTATTATAGATGCTCACCCTTGCTCTTCGAAACCTTGTACAAATAATGCAACTACTTGCATAGAGACAGGCAATGGTGGATACATTTGTGTATGTGCCGAAGGTTATACAGGAAAAAGCTGCCGTGTCAAGAAGGGACCCTGTACAGTGAATGGGTAAATATGATTGTATGTTGTTGTTGTCTTTTATAAACCTAACATCTACAGGTACAGGACCACGGTAGACATCACTGTGGCAGCAATTTTTGTGTTCTCACATTCCTTCCTGCTCACATATAAAATAATGGAGGGATGTCACAATAAATCTGTACACCACTACTAGAAAGGATAGTAGAAGCTACATTTCCCCCTCAGCTGAGAATTTAGTTTGGTAGGACAGAAATTCTTAAAAATGTGCATGCACAGCCAAGCCCTTTGAGAAAAGACTGAAAGAACTGAGTGTGTTTAGCTTTGAGATAAGAAGACTGAAAGGAGATATAATAGCATTCTTCAAATACTTGAAAGGCTGTCATACAGAGGAAGGGCAGAAACTGTTCTCAAATCATTCCAGAGTACAGGACATGCAATTATGGGCTCAAATTATGGGGAGCCAGATTTTGACTGGATATTGGGAAAAACTTCCTGTTAGAGCAGTACAACAATGGAACCAATTACTTCTGGAGGTGGTGAGCACTCCAACCTTGGAGGTATACAACAGAAAGCTAGACAGCCATCTGTCATACTTTAACCTGGACTCCGGCAAGTTTGAGCACAAGTTGGATTCAATGGCCTTATTAGACCCTCCCAACTCGATTATGATTCTATGACTTTGCCCACAAATGTTACAAAGTTGTACTGCACCGTCTTTGAAAGAAAGGAGGAAGGGAACAAACTCAGAATTCGCTAGCCCTTCCATGACTGTTCGATTTTGATTTCCCTTCCATCAGCCACTTGGCTCTGCTAAGTCCCGATGGACACCAACAGCTCCTGTTTCTCATGTCACCTCACTGCTTCTAGCAGGACTGGCTGCAGTGTCCTCCATTGCAATGGGCAGGTACAGTGGAGTATCAAGAGTGAGGTCAGACATTTTGCATGTAACCTTGCTTGGCAGATGCCTGGGTCAGGCATCAGGATCGAGCTGCTAGATTCCCTGGTTTAAACAGAATTGATTAGAGTAATTCCCTAAGAGTGACAGCTAGCCTTGTCCTATAAGTGAATGCTTCACAAAGCTTATGCAAGGAGAAAGACCCCCTTCCTATTTCAGTTCTGGGACTTACACATGGCCCATTGCAGAACAGCTGTCAAGATGAATGCAAGTGGCTTAGCAAAGGCTCCTTATTTTACTCATTATGTTATTTAAAGCTTTCTACAGAAAGCCATGGCAGGTAGCAACAATATTCAAGCAACTGTCAAATGAGGGAATATAATCAATAAGCATGTAATAAATCCAATAAACAGTAAAACAGCCAATGAAGATAAAAACTATTAGCAGTGAAAATTGGTTGGAAAAGCAGCTAAACTGTCTAGAAATGCCTGGATAAAAAGATGAGGATGTCAAGAGCCCTACAGAACTTTATAGACGGCTAGGTAAAAATCAGAAGCCTGCTTTGGTCACAGCTGGCATTTATCCCATTCAGGGTTAATTCCAGAATGAAATCAAACAGTTACCATAGTCTCTTGAGGCTGAAGGATGCCTAATCTAAATCTCATACAAGAAAAAGCTGCCAATGATAACAAAATTCATCTGACTATCAACGTATAAGTCTTTTCATTGTTGCAATGATTCTGGACAAACTTAGCTTGTCTAATTCTACTAGCCTTTTTTTATCTGCATTGCTTTGGGGTTCCATACATACAAAAATACTTCAAAGTTGTTGAGAACATCCAAAAAGCGTACAGCTATGGCAAACTGTAGGCACAAATGTTTATATATATACAGTATGAAAAAGGCAAAGGTTCCCCTTGACAATTTTTGTCCAGTCGTGTTTGACTCTAGGGGGCGGTGCTCATCCCCGTTTCCGAGCCATAGAGCCAGTGTTTGCCCGAAGACAATCTTCCGTGGTCACATGGCCAGTGTGACTTAGACACAGAACGCTGTTACCTTCCCACCAAAGTGGTCCCTATTCATCTACTTGCATTTGCATGCTTTCGAACCGCTAGGTTGGCGGGAGTATATATACTGTATATCTGAAGACTAAAGTTAAGTTGCAGGCAAATATTTAACAATTTCAATCTGAAGAATTCAATCCAAAGTATGGTAGAAATATATTTTAAGTGTGGAAAAGAACAATGAGAATGTTTCAGTTATGTTATAAAATTGCAGGAGCTTAGGATACAAAAATAACAAACATAACTCTGCAGTGTTCCTTTGTTGTAAAGGAAGAGTGGTTATATTGTCATTCTTGGCTTGGAGACTAGTTCTGATATATCTCCAAGAGTCAAGGATAGATAGAGGAATGATGTGGAGAAAGAAGAAGTGCCACTAAGTACAAGAAAAGGATATAGCGGAAAGTGGGGAGACACGTCAACATAAAAAATGTTCCCCACTCTGCTACAAAAGTAGCAGAGTTGTCTCACCGTCTTAAGCAATAGACACTGTTTTGCTGCAAGCAACACTTTGTAGAAAGACAAAGCTGCTACAAAAGTAGCAGAGTTGTCTCACCATCTCAAGCAATAGACACTGTTTTGCTGCGAGCAATACTTTGTAGAAAGACAAAAATGCTGGGAAAAGTTGAAGGCAAAAGGAAACAAAGGAAGGCCAAATTTAAGATAGATAGATAGAGGAATGATGTGGAGAAAGAAGAAGTGCCACTAAGTACAAGAAAAGGATATAGCGGAAAGTGGGGAGACACGTCAACATAAAAAATGTTCCCCACTCTGCTACAAAAGTAGCAGAGTTGTCTCACCGTCTTAAGCAATAGACACTGTTTTGCTGCGAGCAATACTTTGTAGAAAGACAAAAATGCTGGGAAAAGTTGAAGGCAAAAGGAAACAAAGGAAGGCCAAATTTAAGATAGATTTGGTTGTTGTAGGTTTTTCAGACTGTTTGGCCATGTTCAAGAACACAGCCAAACAGTCCGAAAAACCTACAACAATCATCGGATCCTAGCCATGAAAGTCTTTGAGAATATAAAAGATAGATTTACTTAATAAAGGTAGCCACAGCCTTGAGTTTGCAGGTGAGCAGGACTGCTGACATAAGGACTTTTTGGAGGTCACTCATTCATGAGGTCACCTGATATAGTGGAAAACCAATGGGTGGTTTTTGGAGGTCACTCATTCATAGGGTCACCTGATACAGTGGAAAACCAACTGATTTAGAAATCATGCTGATTTCTAAACATGTGCAATTATAACTACAACAAAATGCTATATTTGTGTACCCAAGTCATAGGCAACACCATCAATACAGAAATTGCTTGTAGAACTGCATAGTCCAAGTGTCCCTCTGAATTCAAATTCAGACCAAGTCCAATATACATTCTTCAACTGGGTTGGATGTCCAGTACATAGAACAATCAGCTCCACATGCAGAATCTTCGAAAGCCTAGAATAAATTATCCAATTGCATATGCATGAAGTCACTACTTAGTTTTTCCCCTCCAACACAAACCTGTAGGAATTATGTCTAGGCCAAGTTGGCAAAAGCATTAGCAGTCTTAGTGGAAATGACAGCTCCAAACTTTTCAACTCTTACACTCTTTTTGATTCAAATCTCTCAATATACTTTCTTCAACTGGGTTGGATGTCCAGTACATAGAAGAATCAGCTCCACATGCAGAATCTTCGAAAGCCTAGAATAAATTATCCAATTGCATATGCATGAAGTCACTACTTAGTTTTTCCCCTCCAACACAAACCTGTAGGAATTATGTCTAGGCCAAGTTGGCAAAAGCATTAGCAGTCTTAGTGGAAATGACAGCTCCAAACTTTTCAACTCTTACACTCTTTTTGATTCAAATCTCGCCCTGCTTTTTCTTAGATACACCACTTTGAGCTGAACCAATATTTCATAGGGATATACAATCACTAGTTAACTAGTGGCAATTGACCATTGTAGTTTAGGCTATTGCACTTAACACTGAGGTAACCAATGAACAGGATACTGTCCATTGTTGAAAGTGTTAATAAATTTAGGATACTAAGTTAATTTTTTTACCCATTTTTTCCATGCACTGACCTCAAAGAAAAGAAGTCGTTTCCAATGTATTAATAGTCTTATTTCCCCCCCCCCCGGTTGTTTTGAACTGCAGTTCGCCCTGTCAGAATGGAGGGACCTGTGTGGACGATGATGGTTTCGCACCCCACGCCTCTTGTCTGTGTCTTCCTGGGTTTAACGGAAATTTTTGTGAAATAGATCTTGATGACTGTGAGCCAAACCCATGTGAAAATGGGGGCACGTGCTTGGATATCGGCAGGGGCTTCCGCTGCCATTGCCCCTCAGGGTATGGAGGGACCTTGTGCAGCAGCCACGTGGCAGCCTGCATGAGCAACCCTTGCAAAAATGGTGGTACATGTCATGCACACCCTGAGGGAACTTTTGAATGTCTTTGCAGGCCCCATTTTGGAGGGGTCACCTGTGCTTCTTCCAATAGAAATGCAAGTCTGAACAGTAAGGCTAAGCACAGGCTGAATCAACACTCAAAAGCTCACCACCAAGTCATTCACCCACCAGAGCGGGAAATCTTGACCATCAAAGAGACCATTGAAAACCGGCAGCCATTACTCAGTAAGAGTCAGGTGATCTGCTTCATGGTTCTGGGCTTACTGACGTGTCTCGTTGTGCTGGGTACAACTGGGATTATCTTTTTCTCTAAATTTGAAATGTGGCTAGCTAATGCCAGGTACAGCCAGCTGGTCCGCAAGGAGAGGGACTGCTTTCTGAAAGCCAGTGATGGTGAAAATCCTCCAGTGAAGATCATTTTTCCAGATCAAAGTGAGGTGTGAATACGAACTATTCTGGTCGCTTGTCTTTGTGCAAATGTGTAATTTAGCTACAAGTACAACACACTGCTCTTGGGCTGTTCTTGAAACATGGCCAGTGGGTTTTTAATTTTTGCTCACTATAATGTTTGGAACTAGAGATGGGCACAAAGTGTAGATCAGCACTTTGGTGCAGTTCAGTGGATCGGGCCCACAGGTTTTGCGCTGGCTTCCCTGCCCCACCTCTTCCTCTGAGTGGGCACCTACAGGAGGGAGCCGGGTGGGGTAATCCAGGGCGCCCATGCAACACCTGTGGGTCCAATCCGCTAAACTGAACCACTGCATTGAACCACAGTCATGCCCATCTCTATTTGGAACCAATTGACATTAAAGAAACATGCTTCATTTGTGTTGCCCAGGGAACTTTTCAGTTCCCAAATAATTTGTAATAATACTATATGGCATTGTATAAATCTCATGAAACTGAATTCAGGATGTAATCCTATACAAACTCCCCTTTGTAATTTCCATTGTAATTTCCATTGAATCAATGGGGCTTGCTTCTGAGTAGATAACACATAGGATTGCACTGTTCTAAAAAGGAGCCAGGTAGATTTTTCATAAATATGGGAACTGATGTCACCATACCCTGTTGCATGTTTGGCAGTTGTGATATTTCTAAATCACTTTCCAATGCTTATTTTTAATAAACAGTATTTAAGGGCTACATGGATCTGTCTCTTTCAGGAGTATTTATTGAAATATTGACACCGACATTCACTTTGATCTGGTTGATCTGGTTGAGACCAAAGCTTAGTAATACTACTTCTTTTAACTACAGTTCCTAGAATTGTGGTAGCTGTAGTCTGAAGAAAGCACAGGTTCTGATCTCTGAAATTAAGGGTGTCCCAACATGAGGTTTGAAGGCACCTGTTCTCCACCCTGATCAATCAGGAGTCAATCACACTCTGACCCTACATGGAAAGAAAAGTTAATCACACCCACTTAAGCTATTTCCTGTGTCTCTGGACCAGATAGGCATTTATCCTGCTGTTTGGTCCACTGCAGGGACAGATTGGATCATTCCTTTTCTAGCAATCAAACAATGAAATTGCTGTAGCAAACCAAACTGTCCCCAGAATGGTTGTTGTGCGTTTTTCAGGCTCTTTGGCTGTGTTCTGAAGGTTGTTCTTCCTAACGTTTCGCCAGTCTCTGTGGCCGGCATCTTCAGAGGACAGCACTCTGAAAAACCCACAGCAACCATTAGATCCCGGCCGTGAAAGCCTTTGTGAATATATTGTCCCCAGAATGTTCCTACCCACACCTTTCTAGGCTCCTGTCATGTCTTACTTTTTCAGTGCAGATAGGTTCACCCTGTTTTGATTCATTTCCAGCATGTGGGATACCTGGAAATGAACCAAAGCTAGGCTTGTGGCTGTCAAATTGCCATACTGTAAAGTGCATGTGGGATCACTGGAAATGAACCAAAGCTGTGACTGTCAAATTGCCATACTGTAAAGTAGATTAAGAAGAGAGTCACTTCAGAACACTGGCAAAGCAAATACTTCCTCTGCATCTCTGTAGGTTTTTAAAAGACTCTACATGGGTAGAGTAGATGCACTCCAGCACTTTTTTTAAAGAAATAGAAAACTTCCTTCTGGAAGTGGGAGAAGACAGGAGAGGGAAATGAAGGGCATTTTTCCCTGTTCTTTCTCTTGTCTTAAAGGCCCAATTAAGAACCCACCTACAAATCCATGATAAGTTTGCAGCAGTCTAGGGAGGGACACGAGCACTGGGGATTGAGTGCACCCATACTCTCTCCTGGTCCCTCACTACTTGGAAGGCAGAGTGCAGGAAGGAGCTTTCCATTTGGCTTTTTTTCCCTACAAAGTGATGCAATGCATATGCACTGCCCTAATACCCTTGCTTTCCCCCCCACTTCCACAGCCCCTCCACAGAGGGATGGAAGTTTTAAATTTGCTAATATCTTGCAGTGGCTCTCTTGTTAAGCCACTTCACAATATGGCCAATTGAAAGAGGAAGAAGCCAGACCAAATAAGATCACTTGAGGTGTGTAGGCAAGGTTGGCTCTTCTTCCAGGAGGCACAACGGGGAATCACACTCTGAAATGCCAGATACCTCACTTATTAAGCTATCCAGCTGGGTCATAAAGGGTGTCATTGAGGAGATCTGAATTACAGTCACCCTCCATACAGTTTTCTAGGTATAGAGTCCTGCAGTGATTTACCATTCTCTTCTTCCTGGGACTGCGAAGCTTAGCCAGCACAATAGAGGTTTGGGTCTTCTTCCAGGAAACACGTTGGGGAATCTCTGCAGCCAAGTATCTAGCCAGCACATTATGCATATTATGCAGCCAGCACATGCTTAACATCAACAACAACAACAACAACTGGTAAACATGTGAATGGTTTCTTAATTCTCATCAAACATGGAAGAATTAGATGTTACAGATTGCACCAATAGTCCCACAAGCTTTTGTGACCTATACCTTGCAAATCAGCTTTCTTCCTTTTGTGACTGGGCATCAGGAGTTAAACACTGACATGGTCTGCATTCTGATTGCTCAGACCCAATGACAGCATGGCTGAAATGTGAATATGCTCTGCTAACTATAGTTTCTGAGCAGGCAGACGATGGATGGTAAATCTCCTGAGTGAGTTGCAGTAGATCATCAAAAGTTTCAAAGTCCCAGTGGCGTAAGAAGAGCAAGAACAAACACGTACACTCCCCAAAAAATTAAACAAAGGTTCTGAGAAAGAAGGAGATTTCTGGGTGAATGAATTTCTGTGTTAACACTCCTTCTTGAGCTCATTGTGTCCTTCCTAAATCTATGTTCATCTTACTCAGATGCTGTTCTGTACTTGACTCTAGTTGCTAGGGTTACAGTGAAAAATACAATGGATCTCAATGTAGCCATCACAGACACCAAGAGATGATCGATTGTACTCAAGACCTGCTAGTCATAAAGATATCTGAGTGATACCATCCAAGTTTCAAATTCCTAATAACACCATTCCAAATTCCTACTGATACTCGGAATGTTTTGTATGCATTTGTAATGAGTCATATCTCGTGTTGATTTATTTCCTCTTGGTATAAAAGAAATAAGAGCAGACAGTTCTAGCCTTGCAGTCTGGAGATATCTATTTGAATGCCTTTGTGTCCTTGTGTGGTGATGGGGTAAAACTAGGTGCCATCCAGCCTCTTCATTTTTCTCTTTCATGTAACTTATTAGGACAGCTAATAACTATTTGTGGAATTTTTTTTACTATTAGTGAAATGTTCTCCAAATGGAGACTTAAAAAAAAAACAATTCTTGGGATGGGAAATATGCCATGAGCATTAGATGGTTCCATGCATCTGGCATTTTAAAATATAAACATTATGTTATTTCAGCCCTAAGCCTGAAATCAGTACAAATCATATTAAGGAACACTGCAGCCAAAGGTTTTCCAGAAAATTACTGAAACACTATTAAAACTTCACAATACAATTAAATTTTGGATCCCCATTTAGGTTTTTATTATCCAGCTGAGCCATCTCTTCATGTGACATTTATTAGAATGTTTATTATGTGCAGTAAACACCACTAACTGATATTACTTCCAACAGTGTACTAATGGAGTTATATTAGTTGCAAAACAACCAGTGAAAGTAGTCCTTCCTACAAACTATGCATAGTTAGCTATGGAACTAGAATTAACTATAGAGCTCAGAAAAGTTACTTTTTTGACCACAACTTCTGGAATCTTTCAAATACCCATGCAAGTCTGGGCCATTTGGATCTTCTAGTACATTGTTTCGCAACCTGGGGGTCACAACACCCAAGGGTGTCACTTTATATGCCTTGCAGCCCTTGTTAAATAATTTCTTCCTTGGCCTTTTGAAACAGGATATTAAAGTTAGTTTGTTTGTTTGTGTATGACAAACAGGTCCTTTTGGGGAGAAAGAATTATATCTCCTCAGAAGAGATGACTGCACCTCACTGAAAATGCCTTTTTTAAAGGAAATATGATAGGGGGTCACAGGTTACTTGGCGCTTATAAAAGGCAGCTGCTACTCAAAAAAGTTTGGAAATCACTGTTCTAATAGAACAAAGGAGGTTTTTCAAACCATAGGAACTGGCCAGATGCGGGAAGCATTATTTTTATGGAAGAGTCCCAGAATTCTATAGCTAGTCTGGTCAGGTGGCATGGGAGATTCTGGTAGACCAGAAAAGCAAGTTTTTCCACCTCTGGAAATCACTTCCACAAGATACAGTAATAGGCATAAAAACAGATACTTATGAAAGTTAATGTACTGTTTTAACTAATGTCTGAATTTATTACTTAATATCCTATCTTTCCAATATACAGTAGTAGAATTCCAGACAGTATGCATACTTACTATCCTGATACTACAGGATACTACAGGATACTTACTATCCTGACTTCACCTTGCTAAGTTTTGGTGAAGTTGCCATTGGAAATGCAAAGGATGGGGTCTTGAATCACCGGACTCACTGTCTGTTTGCACATAAGTTGCACCAACAACTTAACTCAGACTCAACTCATTCCCCCCATGACTCGGACTAAACTTATGACTCAGAACTCACCCTCCCCTTCCTTTTTTTGGGGGGGGGAACTTGGGACTTGATACCAAGGACTTAGACTCGGACCCAAATCCTTGCCACTATCCCTGATAAATGCCTTTAGACCATGTCTGGATAGTTTTATAGGTGTAAAAGAGCAGAGTTCCTATAAAATGAAACACTCCAAAGTTTGCTTGCATACCTTTTTGTGCATGTAGCATTCATCCCTTACCTGGGGTGTCTCCCAGTACTTTTCAGTCTTCTATAAAAGGTATCCCTTCCATTAATGGAGTAGAACTTGTTCCCTTAATGTATTGGCAAAGCTTTCCCAACTGCTTGTGCTCAGTGTTCGTGGTGGTGACCAAACACATGGCAGATAATCAAATTACAGATGGAAATCATGCACATTGCCGAAAAATATATCGTTTACATGACTACAGAATCACATTACAATACCAAATCACTTAGACTAGGAGGTTGTTGTTGTTTAGTCATTTAGTCGTGTCCGACTCTTTGTGACCCCATAGACCAGAGCACGCCAGGCCCTCCTGTCTTCCACTGCTTCCCGGAGTTGGGTCAAATTCATGTTGGTAACTTAGATGACACTGTCCAACTGTGTTGTCCTCTGTCGTCCCCTTCTCCTCCTGCCTTCACACATCAGGGTCTTTTCCAGGAAGTCTTCTCTTCCCATGAGATGGCTTTGTGACCCCATAGACCAGAGCACGCCAGGCCCTCCTGTCTTCCACTGCTTCCCGGAGTTGGGTCAAATTCATGTTGGTAACTTAGATGACACTGTCCAACTGTGTTGTCCTCTGTCGTCCCCTTCTCCTCCTGCCTTCACACATCAGGGTCTTTTCCAAGGAGTCTTCTCTTCCTATGAGATGGCCAAAGTATTGGAGCCTCAGCTTCAGGATCTGTCCTTCCAGTGAGCACTCAGGGTTGATTTCCTTCAGAATGGAAAGGTTTGTTCTCCTTCCAGTCCAGGGGACTCTCAAGAGCCTCCTCCAGCACCACAATTCAAAAGCATCAATTCTTCGGTTGTCAGCTTTCTTTATGGTCCAGCTCTCACATCTGCACATCGCTACAGGAAAACCATAGCTTTGACTATTCAGACTTTTGTTGGCAAGGTTTCTTCCCAAG